ACAAAGAATAAATAAATTGTAAGATTTATATATAAGACAAATATGCTTCTTAAAATTATGTTTTGTATATACAGAAGTTCTGATGGAATCAGCATCAGCATCAGAAGTATCAGAAGATCAGTAACATGTGCTACACGCTGAAGCTACCAGATCATACGCTGAAGCTTGATGACCAGAATTTGCGCATAAACATATACACCTGACTCTGATCAAATATCTTTACCAAGTCATCAGCACTCTGAAGCGTTACCATAAGCAAAGAAGACTCTGAAGCGTTATTAAGTATTCAAGACAAAATTAATTGCTAACGGCTTTATTCAGACAAGATCTTCTTCAAAAGGAAAGTGTGTTATTATCAGTAAAAGTGCTTTATGGACAACGTATCTTTGCCTTGGCTATATAAACAAGTCTGCTTGAGAAAAGACGCACGCATGCACTCACATAATTTGCCAAGCCTTCAAAACCACGCTTACTCAAACGCTTTAGCAAATTCAGTTTATTCCAAGCTTAAATTGTGTAATTATCACAGTTGTGATATATTGTTTTATTAGAAAACGTTAACACATCATTGTTCAAATTATTTGTAAAAGATTTCCTTGAGATAAACCGGTTTGTGGTTATACTCAAGAAGGCTTTAACAGTTGTTAAAGTAGCTGTTGTAATCCTTTGAATATAGTGGATTAAGACCTCGTTGGAGAGAGGCGAAATCACCTTGACAGGTGGACTGGAGTAGTTTGAGATCAAACGAACCAGGATAAAAATACTGTGTTGTCTAAGCATTTGTTTTAAGTTTTACAATTCAACCCCCCTTCTTGTGTTTTTCACATCTTCAAAAGATACCCTCATTTTCCCCAGGTGAAGATTGGTACTCCCCAACGGTAGCATCATCGGGTTGGTCTGATTAGATTTCTTTTGTCTAAGAACTTCTACGGTTCCCCAGTCAAAGTCGCTTTCATTAATGAGTTACATCAGAAGGTCCCAGATCCCAACAATGTTCTCTTTATCTGTGGAAGGAGATATTGGATCTTTTCCCCAGAAGGTCAAGAGGTGGAACATAGGTCAATATTTCTTCTGCGCTGCAATTTATTTTTGCAGTATTCTCCCCATGAAGTTATCCCCAGTAGGAAATTGACCAGATTTCCAACAAAAGTCAGGGTTCAGGTTGTGGTTATTGGTCTTTTCGTTTCACCAATCTGGGGCTGTCAAGTTGAGGATCAATCACTTGAAGTTCCACTACCCTAGGGAGGCATATCAACTATGGTATGAATCCCATGAAGTCCTCTCAAGGAATTATCATTCACCCTGTAAGTTGCAGCTTGTCAGCACCTATGCAAGAGTCTCACCTCTAACTTTTTAACTCTGAATCAGGGAATTTCCCATAGAGTTAGGTCTCCTCAGCATTGTAATGTAAGGTATTCTCGAGGATGATAAGGTTTTTGATACGTTTATTCCCCAACCAAGTATGGATGAGCATTATATCTTTCCTTAGTAGAGACTATTCCCAACGGAGTTTATCTTCCGATTTGAATTATCGTTGAAGTTCGCATTCAGAAGTTCTCTTTTTCCCATATGATTTGTGACTTAGGGCATTTATTTATCAAAAGAATCTGTTATCATTAGTAGTGTTGATGTTGGCTGAGATTTCCATATCACCAGTAAAGTCAATACTGTTTAAATATCTTCATGGTCTATTTTACGGTTGCATGCCGATGGTTTTGGAGTCCCCGACAAAATACTTCGTGACAAAGTTTGGTATCCCTAGTGGAGTTTTGTATCCTCAACAGAGTTTTATTTCCCAAAAATATTTTTCAAGAGAAAGGCTTCATTCTGACACTTCAAGTTTGAAGACGTCCTATTCCCCCAGTGGAGTTGCTTAGATAAGAATTTGCAGTCTGAAGAAGTTTCAATTCCCTAGCAGAATTACCAATCAGAGATTCCTCGTCCTGATCTCTCATTTCTTAGATAATTTGTTGCTTGGGGCATCCTTATTTAAGGATCTTTCCTTATCCTCAGTGTAGTCGTGCTGGTCGATTAGTTGAGATTTTGTTAATCTTCGGCAAACAGTAGAGGACTTTTCAAAAGAAGTTTCCCCAGCAAAGGTTTTAATTCCCACATTCGATTCGTTATCTTGGTAACATCCTCAACACGACTGCATGTCATCTTTTCCAGAGATTACAGTCTTACCCTTCCAGTCGATTTCTATTTGGCATTCTCCTTCAGAAGCTACAGTCTCGCCGTGATCTTCTCCCACAACGCCCAATGTTCATTTTTTCATTTCTTCTTGAAGTTGATCAGTTTCGACTCGATCTTCTCCAGCAGAGTTCATAATTTATTTTTGCAACTCCTCTCAGTGTTTGTAACCTGTTTCTACTAGTAACTCAGTTGTTACTCCACACGTAGTTCCAGCTCTTCAAGGGTTCCTCCTCAACGGTTCCTTATATCTTCTTTTCTATAGTAGATTTTTCAAGTCTTTTCAGATTCCGACTTCTTGGCAGTTGGCTTCTCGTTTGGACATTCCCCAGTGAAACATTTAAACAGTATCATTGCATTGCATCTACCAAAATGCGTAGCATTTCCATTATATGGAGCATTGCGCTATATAAAAAAAATTCAAACATGCATCAGAATATATGCCATTATTGTTTCTATTTCCCTCGGTGAATTTTATAATTCCCCAGGTTATATCCCCAGCGAGGACTTCACCCTCATTATCTCAATTTCACCCCCTACAAATATCCTTTTGATGTTAATCATTTGATTGTTTGAGTGTCTACTCTTGATCGTAGTTCAGTTTCTCCCTGGCACAATCTTCTTGGGTTTAGTCTTCACTGCCCTCACCCATTCATTCAAATATCTATTGATCTACCTTTCGAATACTAGTTTCGTCCTGATATTCGCTTTCAGTAGGTTTTTATGTGTACGCCCTAATCTCCTTGCTTTAGGTCGAGCTCATAGTTTCTTCTCCTCACCGTGCGCATGAAATCCAGTTTCGTCCTAGTACTCATCTAGTTTAGTTTCACCTAACTCGTTAATAAGTCGAGTTTTTCCTCGTTTTTGTTTTCATACCTTGGACCCTTTGACGGTGTTCTTTTTCCAAGTGCAGTGTTCGTGCTACATCCCTGGTTGAAATCAGTCTCTTTTGATCCTTGGATTCTTTCATCAGTTTTCGTCACTGTTTATCCACTGATCTGAGACCAAGAAGGTGCTTTGAGAAACACGTGCTCTCATCACTTTGCTTTGGGTCGAGTTTCGATCTCGTCGCCTATGCATGAAATCCAGTTTTGTCCTGGTACTCGTCTCGTTTAGTTTCGCCTAACTAGTTATTTAGTCGAGTTTCGCCTCGTTTTGTTTTCATACCTTGGATTCTTTGACGGTGTTTGTTTACCGAGTGCAGTGTTCGTGTTGCGCCCCTGGTTGAAATCAGTCTCTTTTGATCCTTGGATTCTTCTATCAGTTTTCGTCACTGTTTATCCATTGATATGAGACCAGCAGGTGCTCTGAGAAACATGCACTCTCACCACTCTTGTTATGGGTCGAGTTTCTCCTTGTTACCCGTGCGTGAAATCCAGTTTCGTCCTTGTAATCATCTAGTTTAGTTTCGTCTAACTAGTTTTTGGGTCGAGTTTCGCCTCGTTTTGATCCTCACTCATGGCATTCTTTCAGTTCCTTCATACTGTCTATCTTAGGTTGAGATTAGCAAGTGCTCCTAGAATCACGCACTATAGCCACTTTGCCCCGCGTACTTTTCTTTTCCAGAGTCTAGTTTCGCCTATTCTCCATGGTTTGAGTCTTATCTCACCCCTTTTTGTGGTCCAGTTTTATCCTGGTGCATTCATTCTAAAGTTTAGTTTCGTCTGCTCTTCTAAGTTTTAGTTCTGTTTTAACTTTATTAAAATCTACGTCACAATTTCATTCTGACGTGTTTCTTGGGAGGTCTAATGTTCATTAAACCCGTTGTTTGCAAAATCCAATCTCGTTAGGTATCTTCTTAGTCCCGCGTCTGCTAACATTCTTTGTCTTTGAGGGGTTCTACTGTTTCTTCAAGAGTGTAAATTTTCGGGTTCTTTCGTATTCAATCATCTTCAACTCTGAACACTCGAAAGTTGTCACTTTTCTCGCTTATCATGTTAAAGATAATTGAATAGGGGAAGTTGTTGCACCCCAAAATTTACCCTCTTGATTTAGGCTTATGTTTTATCATAATCATCAAATTGCATCACATTCATGCATTGTAATGAGATCAAGGTTCTTTAGTTTTCTACAAGCTATGGATTTTTGTTGTATTACAAATCAGCCCAATACGGATCTCATCTCGTCGTTTACTTTGATCATTCGGGTTACCAAAGCTTCTCAAAGCCTCAAGACATCTCATTTGATTCTTTGTGCCATGAAACAATTGAATTTTCAAGTGTTGATTCTTGAATCACTGTTCTTCTATGTATCTCTTGAGAGTATGGTTTATTTCCTTATATTCCTCGTAAGATTAGGGCATCATCTGAAGTTGACTTAGACAAGAGGATTTCGTTAATACGAAAGGGCGTGAAGATTTATCTTAATAATTCACTAGTCACCAGTTCAAGAAACCTTATTGTTTAAGGCATATTTTGGTATAAAGGATGAGGTTGTGACCAAGACATCTTTGGTTGTCTTCATTTAATTGGGGCTTGTTGGTTCGAATCTGAGGTTGAATTTCGAACTCGAGAATTGAGTTGAACTTCGGTTCATTATTATTTCGAATTTGGATTGCTTCCAATGAGTTGAAGTTCTTAATGTTTGTAAGGTTGGAAGAATCATTCATGGCTAATTTCTCATGATTCAAGTGACAAAGGCTTATATCATGATCATGCAAGATTACAAAGCATAGACCATTTGTTCATAAAATCTTATTCAATATGTTCTCAAGGCTCAAGTTTGCCCATTTTTCTATCATTTCAATCCTCTTATTCAAGGGCATTCAAATATGGTTCAAACTTTATTCATTCCTTAGGCCATTGGTGATGATGATAACTAGTGCAAGTGTGTGAAAGCATTTTATGTTCAAAAATTGGAAGAACTTTCAAAAAAAGGAGAATTTTAAACTTGAGGAAAACATTAGTTAAATTCAAAGTTTTTGGACTTAAACATACAAGATCAAGATTTCAAAGCATACAACATTGTTCATTCAATATTTCAAAGTTCATCATTCTAAAACAAAAATCAAGAATATTCAAGCTCCAAAATACATTGAAGAAAATCACAAATGAATAAATCCCTAAGTCCTAAAATTCTTTCATAATTCTCAAGCTTCAAAATTTGTCCAAACAATTCCAAAAGATTGTCAAATTTGCTTGTAAACCATGTCCAAAAATCTCTACAAACTTGATTCAAAATAGTGTTAAACATTGCGGCCAAAAAAGTGCAAAACAGGGCCATCATCACTTGGCTCAAACCCTTGTGTCCAAGCTACATCAAGCATCTCATGAGCAGGACAAACCGGTTCGAAAATTTTTCGGAACCTGCATAAAATTCAAACAGAATCAAAACCTGGATTGGAAGTGGTTCATTGAAAAAAAAACAGATTAATGAAACAGTTCATAATCACCATGACTTCATCCCCAAAACCAGTTCAAAATGCTACTGACTACAACCCTGCATCAATAAAAAAAAACTAATCCAAACATCAAAAGTAGTTCATCAAGGAAACCGCTTCAGTCCAGTAGAAAAATCAGAAAGTCAGGAAGAGTGAAAGAATAAAACCTTGAAAAATATATCAAGCCATACAAAAATATCAGAAAATTATTTGACAGCTCAACAAAGTGTGAAACTTCCAGAGCAAGCCTCAAACAGAATCAATCTTATCCATCCAGTTTTATAACAAACATCCAGAACCTGGGGTAGAAAATCATTTTTTCTTGTAACTGACTTTTCTTAACAAACTAACAGAAAAAAAGAGAAAAAATGTACCAGTATGGATTCATTATGGAACTTCTATAGAAGAATCACATAAATAATCCCAAGAAACTCTCTCTTCTCCTCTTATCTTCATCTTCACCATTCTTCATTCTTTTGGAAGAATCACCAAAAACCAGAAGCTCTTCTACAATCTCTCTCTTTGAATCCTATCTTCACCTTCACTCTACAACGAATCTCCATCTGCTTAACTGAAGTCGCTACCTCTGAAATCTTCATCATTCTTTGCTCCATTTTCTGCAATTTCTTTCGCAACTCGCAACGAATTCACAACCACAACTACTACAATAATCATCATCAACTCGTCATCAGCAAATCATCAACATCAACACTTCTCCATCAATTCTCTGCAAGCTACTTCAACCTTTAATCTTCATCACGCTTCACCTTCAATCACATCAATGTAGACATCAATCTCTACATCTTCATCATCATCTTTAAGCGTTTCTTCCTCACTCTTCGTCACTGCAAGATCAAATTCGCGCACCACATCACTGTTAAACAGATCATCACACAACTTCCCTGTATCTTAATCATCTTCATTGCAAAATGTAAACAACACTAACATCATAACATTTCTCAAGAATTAACTATAAACTCACAAAAAATTGAGAAAAGAATTCACGATTTCAACCTTAGTTCTCACCGCCGTTGTCGTCGAATTAAGATCGGAGACGTGTTTGAAACCACGAAGAAGAAGACGTCATCAAAGCTTCGAAATCGGATGATAGAGGATGATGACGGCAGCAAACAAAATCACGTCGCGGATGAACTATGCAGCGGCACCGAAAATTGTCTGAGATTGTCGGAGTTTGAGAGTTGAACGAATCAGCGGTGATATCAGGAACGAAGAAGGAGGCTTAAGTCAGGCGTAGACGGTTGATCTTGGAGGAGCGAAACTACGGAGGTGGAGCCGGCTCAATTGCAGCGATAGGATGAGAAAGGGAACAATCTTTTAAGCCCTAAATCACTCTCTATACGATGCGTTTGATCCACTTCTACATTTCAATTTTGATTTTTTAGTTTTGTTTTATATAATTCTAAATATAATAATATAAATATGCTGAAACAAGAATTGAATCTGTAATGATGGATCAAGAGAAGGCACGAGCCATGATTATTTACATGTTTTCATTTGGATACTTTTGCAACAAAAATGCTATTGGATCTTCATTTTGGATTGGGTTTAACACCATACTCTCTGTTCCAGGCTGACACCCCCTTGATACTCCTTTTTCTTGTATTAGATTTAGGATCTTTTTTTTTTTATAATTTTTCTAAATTTTGATGATAAAAATTTACAAAATCAATCTGACTTGTTAGTTTTTTTTTAGGGATTAAGAATTAATTCTCTAGTTTTTGATAGTTTTTTTTATAATAAAAACAAAAAAAGGATAGTGGAATATAATAGAATTTTTTTTCTAGAATTTCTTTTGTATAAGTTTTTTAAGAATTTTCTAGTATCGACTGTGTTATTAATCATTTTGTTATTCGAGATTTGTGATTCACCTTTGGTTGTTGAGATTTGAGTCATATGCAGGTCTGTTATGTGATATTCAGATATTTTTGGCGCACCTTCTTCTTGTGATTTTTTTCACATTGAAGAGGTTACGACGCTTATTACAAACATTGCATTTCTGACTCTTCTCTATTGATTGGTGAAGCTTACTTGAAGTTTTCTTGGTTTCTCTACTTTGCTTGCCATGCTACGAACTTTAGTTCGTTTGTTATTTTCTCTCATTTATCTGATCTCGTATTTTACTGCTTTCTAGATATCATGAGAAGTAGGAAATAAAGAGCGTGCGCTCGAAGTCGCTGTTTAAAGACATGTAGCAGGCATTATGCACTTCATTTGCTATATATGTTGTGCATGTTGAAGCTACCGGCAGAAAACACAGAGCCGCCACCGAACTTTATTTATCCCGAAGGAAGGGGAAATATCGATAAAACCACAAGGGAATGGATAAGATGGTCTTGCGACCAAGAGAAAGGGTAAGGGAGTCGGTTATGCGAGGGGAAGGTATTAGCACCCCTCACATCCATTGTACTAAACGGGGTCCATTTTGTTTGTTTGTCTTTAAGGGTGTATTTATCTACAACTGTACTTGCGTAAGGGAAAAGGAATGATTTCTTATTATGTTCGTGGTTCCTCTAGAAAATGTTTTTTTTTTGTTTTTTAGTGGGCGACGTTAACGCATGCATTCTAGCAATAAGCACGACCGGTATCGCGGTAGAACAGAGATAACATGCCCTTTGAGGGAAGTTTTGATTTTTTTGAGTGTTTTGCGAGTTTCAAAAGAAATTCAAGTAATGATTAAAGGTGTTTTTGGATTTTTGATTTGAGAAGGTTAAGTTGTAATTACAAAAGAAGAAAAGGTCAAGAGGGAGACTACAAACCTAATTATTTGTTATGTACAAGTGAGCCAAAAATCTATTGTAACATAAGGAGATCGAAACGGGATTTAACCGCCTCATTGAGCTACCTAAGGGAGTATATTATCACGGTTTGAATGAGTAACTTAAACTCTAAATATTTTTTTTGTGGTTTTAGTATTAATTTAACAAATAACGAATTTGAAAGTAAATTAGAACCTAATTTTAAAATCTAATTCTAAATATGCTTTTGTTATTTTTATCTTTGAAAAATAAAATAAAACCAAGAACTATTATAAAATAATTAAAACAAGATATATAAAAAACAATGGGAATAAAGAAAATAACAAAATGGGGGGTATGCTATAAATTTCGTTACTCGGCTGGAAAGAGAGAAATTTTGGGCAGCCTAAGCCCAATAGCAATCAAAAACAAAAATAATGGAAATGGAGAAGAAAAATGAAAAAAAAATGGTCCTGATGGGTATTGAACCCAGAACCACCTGTTTACACACACCAGGCTTTTACCACCACACTAGTTTACTTTATTCGTTAATTATACTACTAAAAAAACTATAAAAATGAAATTATGAAAATGGGTTAGGCTAGGCCCAAACCCGAATCCACCTAAAAGAATAGAGAGAGATTGGGATTTCTTGGAACCCTACTCTGTTTGTATAGAGCGCCGCACCTACAGAGAAGAAAAGTTTTATCTAATTAATTTTGTTTCTCCAGAAAACAAGGTTAACCAGAAGATGAACCTTTCATTTCTCAAATTCTTCCTATGTATCAAGCGACCCTCTCCTCTCTTTCACTTAATCGTTCCTCGCTGCTCTTCCCTCTCTTATCCCAGAATCATCATCGTATCACTTATGCCTAAAATCTCTCTGTTTCTCAAAACGTGTTGTCTCTTGCTCTCATCCTTTCTTAAGGTTTTCAAATTTAACTTATCGCAAACAACAATGAAACACAATAAAAAGATAGCGATGGAAAAAGATTAATGGTAACATTGGCTCGCAGAGAAGAAGGGAGCCACAAGATCCGTTGGATGGTCCGTGCGCGATTGCTGGAGGTGATGCGTCGTGGTGAGCAGTAATGTTAGCCAGTATTTGAAACACATAAGTAAGACGATGATCGGTTCGCCCAGCGAGATCGGAGGTTTTTGGGGCAGTCGAATGCATGATGTGGCAGCCAATTGAGTTCGTGATTGGAGCGATGGCCTTCGTGAAAAGGGGTAGAGATACAACATGGTTTTGAAATGTTACATGATGATAACAATAAGTTATAGTGATGGTTTAGATTTTGATTTTGTAATGATTGGAAAAAATTGGTCTGTGTTTTATGAATCTTGTAATGAATAATAGGCTACAGTGGATTTACATGGAGGAAGATGGTGGTGATTTTCTGCAGTGTTTCTACACAATTTTCTCCCTATGTTGCTTCACTCTCATTAAAGAGACATAAATTGGAACTTACAATTGTATCATTTTCCTATCTGTTCGGAAAGACAATGACCCGGCAGGGATATCACTCATCTTCATCTTTTGGACACTAACGTTTTCTCTCAGATTGCTATTTAAAGGTAAACAAAAAATCCTTACATTGCTTAAGATAATTTCCTATTCAAAGTCTTTGTTTTTTAATGAACTGAAAAATAACCAATTTAAATGCATGGATGCCACCATGATAGCAGGAGTATGCAAACGATTCACAAAATGCTAGCATCACAAACCATATTCAAGAGATCATATATTCAACAAAATGATAAGGTGTTGTGAAAACATTACCTGGTTTGAAGATTGTCACATAGGCAAACCTCATAAGTAAGTTCTTTTGTGTCTATTTTATGTTGCTGACTTTGAAACTCGTCGGCCTAGGTTGTTTACTATTGCAGGGAGCTTGGAGATTATTATTGATAATGTCCTCTTTCTGGTTTTCTGGCTCTGTTGTTGGTATTTTTTCTTTGTGTTATCCTTGGTTTTTTACTAGATGATATCTCACTCTCTCGGTTTTGCTGGCTGGTATCTCACTCTCTCGGTCTTGCTGGTTGTGTGCAAAAAATCCCCCCTTTTAATTTAACAAATGGCCCTTCTTATAATGAAACAAAGGTTGAAAAGTGGGGGAGGGGGAATTGGTTGAGGTTTTGAACATATTTGGATGTGGTTTTAACACATTCTTGCTGCAGTTCTATTTTCTTTGCCATTTTCGTGAAAGTTTGATGCATGGCAGCATACTTTATTGTGTTGTGGATTGGTGTAGTAAGGTTGCAGCATGGACTGATCTTGGGTAGTGTTGTTGGGATTCTTTTGGGTTACGTGGTATCTTTTCAAAACTGTTCTTTTTCCTCTTTATCCTTCAATGATGCAAACTGTTTTTCCTTTTTGAAAATTCCGAAGGGTTTGCATTTTAGGGAAAATGATGATATAAGGGCTTTGAACCAATGTTGGCTTGCATTGTTTTGTGAATTACTGCTATTGTTTTTAGTTTTGGCTTTACTACTATATTACAGTCTTGCTACTATTGGTTGCTATGTTGCTGCTGTTGTCTGCTTTAGTAGTCTGCTTTTATGTTGCAGTTGTGGCTTTATTTGTGTTGCATTTGTTGTGCTTGGCAGTTTGCTGCTTATTTTATATTTTTCCTTGGAAGCCTTTCTTTGCAGCTTTGTTATTCCGCTGCTTTGATTGGCTTGTTGCTGCCTATTTAATATTTTGCCTTGGCTGCCTTGCTTTGCAGCTTTTTTATTGTGCTGCTTTGTTTGGCTTGTTGTGCCGCAGTATAGTAATCCTGGGCTGCTGTGACCGTTTGCATTATTTGCAATTTGACTTTGCTTTTGTATTAGAAAATATTTGCAAATTTCTTTTTTCCCTTTTTGTGAACCAAAGTCCAAACTTTGTGATTTGCAAGATAGGAGAAGATGGCTCATGATAAAAAATTAAACCCTTTTAATTTTGATTCCAAATGTAAATCCTAATGATGAGCTTTCTTTTTTAACAAATAATTCTTGCTTGAATTTTTCACATGTTGATTATTTGCTAGCAAGGAGTGGACGAGTTTCTTGAAGATGAAGCAAAACAAAATTGAAGAAGAAACATTTTCTTTGTAAACAAAACAATTGTAGCTTGTATTTCAACATTTGTAACATGCTTTGTAACTTGTCCCACAAATGTAATGAACACAAAACTTGAATGATATATTTTTTTGAATGATGAATTCGATGTACGGAAAGCAAACAACTCTTGAATCTTGATAAAAAAATGGAAATTCCCACTTGAATGGTTTAAATAACATTCTTTACTTCATAACTTAGAATTTAAGAAATCAAACATGACTTTAGTAACCTATATCTCAAGTAACCATGCACTTTATCTTTTAATCCTCAATCTTCATATCATTCCTAAACCAAAGTTGCACTCTCAACAAGAACTTTAACTTTGATATCCAAACCACATGTAACTTGTAACTGAGGCAACAAAAACACTCCTTGATCGTCATGAACCCTCCAAACTTATTTCTTACACTCGGATTCCATGTTCATCCTTTTAAACATCAAACTCCTGACTCAGTGACTTAGAGATCTTAAAAAGAAAACTTGAAGTGCGAGGAGATATTAAACATGGAACCCCTTTGATGCAGGTGAAAGAAATAGTTCACAAAAACCAGGGATCCAAAACCTTATCATCTTGACCAAAAAATAGGGAAGTAAACCCAAATCCCAACTCTGATGGATTCGAGCGAGAAACAGCCTTGTAACTTGATAAGAAAGCAATCCATGATACCTAAAGAATCCACCCCACGATCCACTAATCGAGAATCAGATGAATTTCCCTTTTACCTGATAAGGGAACTTCAAAATAAAATTAGACATAAAGAGGGAACAACCCTAATACCTTAATCCAAGGCGTCTGATTCCATGAGATGCAGGATATGAAAATGACTCAGTAAAAATGATGCAAATGGGATGCAAAGTTCAAAGCCGAACAAAAGAAAAAAGAGGTAGGGACAATTCTGGGTATGACACTTGTGTTTGTTTCCTTGGTTGTTGATCGATGAGTCACTCCATTTAGGAATTGAGATCACGATTTCACTCTCATTGCATGTTCCCTTAGGATTGCTCGTGTGGGTTTAGTCCCTGAGTTAGACCTTAGGATAGGAATCCTTGCATGCTATCATAGGATAGAAACTTCCCTTTTTTATCCTCAACCTTAGGGCCAATCATTGTATAATAACATTAGGGCTAGATATTAGGATAGTCTCCCTTAGCTGTTTCCTTTTTTTTCTTTGCATGTTTCATCTTAAAACTAAAACTTCTTAGAAAATCATAAAATATCTCTAATGAACTTAAACCCTTCTTCAACGTAAAAAATACAAACCAATATTAATTGCTTGTGCGCCTTCCTGTTTTACATTAAAATCTTGCCAGATTGAGGTTTTGACATCTTTCACATGACTTTTTGTTATCTTTTAGCCGATGTCTCTCCATTGTATATTTGTTTGAAGCCGGTGTTTCGCCATCAAATATTCTTTTAGCTGGTGTTTCGCCATTGCGCATGTTTGTTATACTACCTTGATTCTCAATATCATTGTTAGGTGTGATGTTTTGTTTCTTGGTTTATTGAGGTTTCGCCATCTTTTCCATGATACCCTGTTATCTTTTAGCCGATGTTTCGCCATCGCATATTTGTTTGAAGCTGATGTTTCGCCATCACATATTCTTTTAGCGGGTGTTTAACCATCACACATGTTTTTTATCCTACATTGGTTCTTAATATCATTGTTAGGTGTGATGTTTTGTTTCCTGGTTTATTGATGTTTTGCCATATTTTCCATGTCACTTTCCTATCTTTTAGCAGATGTTTCGCCATCACACATTCTTTTAGCCGGTGTTTCGCTATCGCACATGTTTGTTATCCTGCCTTGATTCTCAATATCATTTTTAGGTGTGATGTTTTGTTTCCTGGTTCATTGATGTTTCTCCATCTTTTCCATGTCATTTTCCTATCTTTTAGCCGATGTTTCGCCATCGAACATTCTTTTAGCCGGTGTTTCACCATCGCACATGTTTGTTATCCTACTTTGATTTTCAATATCATTTGTTAGGTGTAATGTTTCATCATCTTGTCTAATATTTTTCTATCATGCTGGCGTTTTATCGCCTTATCTGAGTTTGTGTTGCCATGCGATGTCTTGTCATCTCTTTTTGCTATTTTATAATCACTGTTGACACTTTTATTGTTCTATCTGATGTTTTACTATCTTGATTGTTGTTTTTATCTTCTTAACTAAAAAACATAAACCAACAAAAATATATGAGCCAAACTACAGCTGCTCTAATTCTTTAAAAGGGATACGTAGGCATTGGGGTAGGGCCCAAGCGAGCATAACTCTTTATTTTCCCTACATTATTTTCTCTTTTATTTTGCATGCATTCCCTGTACAACTTAGATTAGATTTTTACGCACCCATTAGATTAGACAACAAGAGTGGATACCGTATAGTACTACGGGCGTGTGGGGTGCTAATACCTTCCCCTCGCGTAACAAACTCCCTTACCCGATCTCTCGGTCATTTGACCGTGATTTCTCCCTCTTCAGGTTTTCTCAATGTTTACCTTTCCCTTCTTGCGGAATAAAAGACCTTCGGTGGCAATTTCATTGATTTCTATTATCGGATGACGGTTCGTCCGATTGTTTCAAAGGTCAAGAGTTCGAATCTCTTGTGCCACACTTTTAACATTTTCTTTTTTTGTTCTATTTTTTATCACTAATTTTCTTTCCTTTTTAAATAGGTGTTTCTTATTGGCCAATTGATGTCAATTTGTGTCACACTTTGCTTTTGATTGGTCATTCTTCCTCACAAAGCATTTTTGCAATTAATTTTCAAATATATTTTTATCAAAACTATTGGGGTTCTCTTATTTTTTTGCAATTTCTTTTCAAATCTATCTTTTCAAAACTATTTGTGATTTCTTATTTTGGCCGATGATTAAATCTCCATATGAGGTCTCCATGATATTTTCAACTCCCTTTTAATTTTAATTTATTCGTTTCCAACCAAATGATGAACAACTGATGGTGCCTTTGTCTTTTAAATCTTATATTTTTACTAACGATTCTCACAACAAATTTCTTTCGAACAATTTTCTTTATTTTTAAGTCATAACCAAATGATGAATATCTAAAGG